AGAGATAAAAGTTGTTAATGTGGCACGAATGAGAAGCAGCGCCGAAAGTAAAACTTTCAGGTTCCATTTGAATGCCCCTACGAAGAAATCCTGGACAGCACAATATCGTGTCGATGGCAAGGAAAAGCAAAGCCGTTTAAAATATTGAAGTAAAAAAGTAAGAAAATACTGCGAAAATCAAATTCACCGATCAACGCTAAGAGCCAATGCCAACTGCTGCTCCACAACTTTCCTGGAATTTTGTGCCTGCTCAATGATGCCAAGAAACGTTTGTCGAGTTATTGCAAATGCAACAGCACAAGCGGCTTCCGTAATCCCGAATCCATTCTAAATATCCAAAAATTTCCAATTTGCAGTGTTAACTTTATTTTTTAAAAAGTTCCCAATCCACTTCAGAATTTTAGAAAGTTTCCAGATCCCCTAACTTACCTCAAAGTCGTCGAAAACTTTCCCGAAAATTCTGAATTATTTTAGTTTTTCAGATCCAGCATCCCAAAACATTACAAAATTTTTGCTTCATTTTGAAATTCTACCGTTATTTTGCTTAAAAAGAAAAATTGGATCCAATGAAATGAAAATTTTTTTACATGTAAAACAAAGTTTCAAAAACTAACCTGCAAATCTAGAAAATGAACATAGCGTTGCATCCAGTGATCAAACAACGCGCTATCAGTAGCCCAATTTGATGCCTTTTCATGAACACTACTTTCAGGTTTCTGAAACAATATGAACGTGCCGTCGCTTCAGGGAATCCGCACACATAACCGCTGTAGCTTATGGCACTTTTTGCACAAAGCAAATGTTCCAGGAACCAGTGATAATGATGCCTGCCCGAACTGGGATGAAGCTCTGCTGCCAGCAAAAAGTGCCCACGACTCCTGCGGTGAAAAAAAGCCACACCATTTAACTGTGAATGAGTTCTTACATCAATCACAAATAACTGGCCAACGCACGGGCTGCCCGTGCGAAGATGCGTTTTTTGCATGGTTCCCCGCAGTTT